ATCATATTAAAAGAAATAATAGTTCATAATAATAAAAAATGTATTCATGGATTACCAAATAAAAAAATTCACAAGACCCCCCCCCCCCCCCAAGTCCCACCAATATTATGAAGAGCGAGCAATGAACGGAATAACTTTTGGCCAATTGTTTAGCATCCAATTCAACTTGAACTTTTGGCTAATTGTTCCTGAATAACTTTTGGCCAATTAACATAAATAAATCCAGATCAATAGTCATAACGAAAACTTTTTTTTTTCTCAACCTAAATTAGCATCCAATTCAACTCAAACTTACCCAGGAACTAATGCAGGATCGAAAGTTTGAAGAGAGGATGAGAGAGGGTATGGAAACCTAAAGAGAGAAAGGCAAAGGGAATGTGGGAGAAAAAATTACAATTATAAGGGATACTTATGGACCGTTAGATTTAATTTTAATCTAACGGTGGTGAGATTGGTGGTAAGGGTGGTAAACTTACCTGGTGGTAAGTATAACCACCCCCATTTTATTTGGATATAATATTTGAAAAATAATTGTATATAAGAATCATTTATATGTTGAAATAAAAAATATACAATTATTATAAAATTATTAAAATGAATAAATAAGAGTTTTTTTCCCGTATAACATAATTAGTTTGCCATTATATTTAATATTTGCCATTATATTTAATATTTGGTGACACGTTAAAGTGATTTAATTAGAGAAATTTTGTAAATTATTTTATTTAATTATTTTATACAAGGACAATAACTTAAAAAATTACTAAATAAATGGTACGCTGGAGCAAAAATTCATAATTGATGATCAATCATTAGTATTATAATGAACTTTTTCAAAAAAAAATAAAAAATAAGTTAGTAATTACAATACTATTAAAGATATTAAAATATGACATATATAAAATTGGATAATATTATAAAGTCTTTTTATATGCTAACATGAATTAAAAATAAATTCTTTAAACATATAATAATACATAATTAGATAACATAATAAATTTAAGAAGAATTAGTCAAATCAAACATGCAAAATTAATTATATCAATTGCTTGAACAATTATGTTTGAGTTGCAATTAAAATTAAAATCATAGAATTATATGCGTACCATGTTAAATCATGCAACACAAGATTTTGTCTACATGTTATTTTCATTTCTTTGATTATAAAATTATACATAAATAAAATAATTTTTACCACACAAATTGTGTAAAGATACAAATTGAATGAATATATAAGGAAGTTATTGTCATGCAAATGAAATGCATATAATTTATTGAAGTGTGTAAATTTTTCAAATTTTTCCATCTCTTACTTTTACTTCATTATCTCATCTGCAAAAATTAGTGCGTTTAGTGTAAATATTAGTTCCGTTTAAGATGTCAGTTTTTTTAATGATGTTTTAATATATTATCAAATAATAGTATTTCAAAATTAAATTTATTGATAATCATTATGTTGCAATTCTGGGAAGATATTTCCCAAACAATAAAGAACCAAAAAAAAAAAAGAGACATAAAGGGATAAGAGAACACAAGAATTCACAAGTTGAGAAACTTGGGATTAGAAGTTTCTTAGGCCTAAAGAGAGGTAAACTCCCTCTAATTGTGCACTTTGTTCAATATTCAAGAAGTAGGTATAGAGTTACCACGCATATATGTAACCCTAAAATGATAACAGAGCTAAAACAATAAAGAAAAATATAACCACTTCAAGAATCCTCCATCAGATACGTTGTCTTCACTAGAGATCAAAACTCAGCTCTTTTTGCCACTAGTTTATCCTTAATCGAAGTTTTACGGTAAAATATCTCAAATTTGAAAAAAAAATTGTAAATTTTTTGACCAAATCTCGTTCAACGAGATATCATTGTATAGATCTCGAAAAGTTATGTGTAATAAAAAAAATTTATCTGATTCATGCACCCGAGTCAAAAATTATTGTCTTCCAGTTTTCGGGTCAAACTGTTTACTTTTGCGTGCTACATATCAATACTGGGTGAGTCGTGCCCAAATGGGATGCGACCCAGCACCCTACTGCTCCCAATTTAGGCGCAATCGGTCGCGCCCCATTTTAGCGTGACTGATTTCTATAGATTTGTAAATAGGTTTCAAACTGTTACGTTTTCATAATTTCTTATTTAATTTGTAATATTTAAATTCTTTTGACAAAACTAACATTGTGGGCTACAATAAATTATGTATTTTTTATTTTAATAAAGATTTTAGTGTGTGTCCTATTAAAGAACACAATATTATGTCTTTTTAGCAGTTTAACTATGTAGTACGAGTAGTACATAGTTATAATATTAAAGTTGTACTTTTTTCACTTTTCACGTCAGCAGACAACTTTTGAAGAGAGAAAAAAAAGTATAACTTTAATATTATAACTATGCACTCCTCATAGTAATGTTATTAAACTAGGCACAGTTATTTATCCACTCGAAGTACGAGGTCACTGGTTCAATCACATGATTCAGTTAGTATATATAAATCTATAATTTATATTAAAAAAATTACAAATATACTCGAATACCTATAAAAAAAATGATACCAATTTTAAATATTTTAATATAAAAAACAAAAAATTAATCAAACATATAACACTTGTGATATATGGTGCTTCAGATTCAGTCAATAGTGAACCTAGAAAAAAAATTTAATGTCTGCACATTTACAATAAAAGGAAAAAGAAAAAAATTTAAAGAAAATTTTAAATATATTAAAATACAAAAGAATATATATAAAAATGAAAACTTTAATTTAATATAAAAAAAGTAATCAGAGTCAACTAAACTGTTTCAATACAACATTTTGGGTCATCAACAAAAATTACGGGCCTCAATTTGATCTCTTAGGGAAAAAATATACCCGTGATCCCTCAGAATTCAAAAATAGATCCAGAAAATCAAAATCACGATCCTCTGAAATTCAAAAAAACTCACATTAATCCCTCAAAAGGACTAACATGGGTTTATTTTGAAATTTAAAAGGATCACGAGTCAACTTTTTTTTAAGAGATTAAATTAGATCCTATAATTTTTGTTGATGACTCAAAATATATTTTATTCTTTTTTTTCAAAAAAATTGTGTGTGCACTTGCACACACTTGCACTCACCTACGTCCGCCTCTGGATTCAGTAGACGACATCTCTAACTATAAATCAAATCAAAATTCATTGTATATTATATAACCAATATAATAATTAGTGTTACATAACCTATGTAACTCAATAAGCAACATATCACTTAAACATTTCAAAAGAAAATAAATCATTTGTGTGTAAAAGTGAAAAAAAGAAAGACATCAATTGATGAGAATAAAATAATTTTTTTTATGAACAAGGCCGGGTCACCGTTTGAACCGATCATGTCATCAATTTTTACAAAAATCAGCAGGGTCGCTCTAGTTCCATTATATAGCCGGTCCAATACAAAAATTGGACCGGTTATATGATCGATTCACCGATTTTTGAGTAGATCCGATTTTTAAAACATTGACCCATAATATATAGTTATAGGGTTCGCTTTTTCTGCAGTTACTGCATATAAGTTATCTGCAGTAAGCCCAATACGACGTCGTTTTGGGCGAAAATCATGTTATTTTCGTAATTTTAATTTATTTCAGGGTTATTATAGTCTTTATAATTATGATTTTCTATTCTTTCACTTTCAAAACGATGTCGTTTTGAACGTAAATGCAGATAACTTATCTGCATTAACTGCAAAAATATTTTTCTGATTGTTATAACTGCTAAAAGGATGTAACATTGTGTCGTTAAAAAAACACAAAGCTTTTTCCCTTTAATAAAAGGATATGCTTTTTCTGCAGTTATTGCAGATAAATTATCTGCAGTAAGCCCAATGCGATGTCGTTTTGGAGCGGAAATCATGGTGTTTTTGTAATTTTAATTTATTTCAGAGTTATTATAGTCTTTCTAATTGTAATTTCTAATCTTTCAATCTCAAAACGACTTCGTTTTGAGAGTAAATGCAGATAACTTATCTGCATTAATTGCATAAATATTTTTCTGTTAATAAAAACAAGTTAAGTTATGATTTCTATGTGGTAGCATTATTTAGGTTTCCTTAATTAAATGATTATTCTATTTGAGATTAGATATCTGTAACGTTCAATAGTGCGGTTAATAATATAAATCTACCTATAAGCCCATAATAAAAAGAAAACCGGGTTAATATATTTGGTAAGATTTCCTCTATATTCACTACACGAAAATTAGTTTGAGTTACAGAAACTCACCCAAATTCTTCCTTATATTCAAATGCCACTGTTGCACCCGAACTAGTGGACTCTTCCTCCTCCTCAGCTTCCAGTGCCATAATTGGATGGAGAGTATAATCCACAAGTGCAAAATGATAAAATCATACTTCTCAATTTTGTGGGTTATCTATAATCCAACGTATCAATTTATCAGCAATCTTATAAAATAATTTAAAATACAATAAACTCTTAAAAAAAATAGTCGTATAAATTTTAAAAACAACAAAATTAAGCATTTTAGAAGTTAAATTTTTAACATTTTAATATATTATTAGATGATAATGGGTCAAAATTAAACTTTATTGATAAAAAAAAATAGGACCAAAATTATCTTATAACTTCAATGCCGAAATCACCTAATGTGATGTTAATTTTTGTTTAACTACCCTGATTCATGTTGATGTTAATTTTCATTAAAATTCATCAAACACATGAATTAATATTCCTATAAATGATTCTTTCATCATTATTCGGGTAAATATAAGACGCAAAATAATAAAGGAAAAATAAATATATGTTGTGAGAAATTTTTTAGGTCAAGTCATATAGACAATCAACGGTGAAAGCTACTATTTTTAAAATAAAAGAAAATTGGTTGTATCACGTAAAAGTAGAAAAAGATTACCCAAATAATAATACCAACGCTTCGCAGAAGCTTCCACAAAACCTTCCTGTAGTGGCGGCTTCAGCAGCATCAGCATCATTTGACCTTTGACCGAAAAACCCAAACCAAAGCTCATCCCAATCTGAATCTTCCTTCTTCTTCTTCTTCCAAAGCTGAAATCGAAATCCCCAAAATCTCTACATAGACAAAAAAAAAAAAAAAAAAAAAAACTAACTCAGATTCATTCTTCATTCTTCATTCTCGTTGTTACACCAATGGGACTCTTTTCTTTTGCCTTTGCTGGTGTTGGATTCATTCTCATTGGAACTCACGAAGCCCTTAAAGCTTCTCAAATCTCTGATCCAAAACCAACCCTCACACCTTCTTCTTCACAACCCAATAAAACCCAATCTTCCTCAAATCTCTTTTTCATCTCTTTATCTATTTTTTCCTCTTTCTTCATCTTCAACTCTCTTATATCACTTCTCAACGCTCACACCTCAAACGACGCCGTTGGCTCAGCCTTACAGTTACAAGTCATACCCATCGCTTTGATTTTCCTCCTTTACTCTGTTCTATCACTCTTGGCCTCTCTACCTTCACAATTACTTGGTCTTGTTGGTGCTTTCGCTTTCGTTGAAGAGTTTCTCTTGTTCTATCTTCAAAGGAAAGACCCTAGTGGTATTGAGAATCGTTACTATGATCTCTTGCTTGTGCCAATAGCTGTTTGTGTTTTTTCCACTGTTCTTGAGTTGAAATCTCCGGAATCGTGTGTACCGAAATTGGGTCGTGGGGTTGGGTTGATTCTTCAAGGAACATGGTTTGTTCAAATGGGTTTGTCTTTGTTTTCTAGTTGGGTTGCTCATGGGTGTGATTTGCATCAAGTGAGTAGAGGGAATTACACTTTGAGGTGCAAGGGTCACCCTGAGTATCATAGGGCTAGAGCTATTGCAACACTTCAATTCAATTGTCATCTTGCTCTTATGGTGGTTGTGGTTGTTGGGTTTTACTCTGTGATTTGTGGGAGGAATGGTGGTTCACTTGATTCCTCTGCAAGTTACAAGCCAATTGGAGCTGAATTGCAGGCTTTTGAGAATTCAGGTAACTTTACTTTGGATTCTGATGGTGATGATGATGAAGAGATTGAGGATGGTGGCAATTTGGCGACCCAGAAGGCAATTGTTGTGGAACATGGTATGAATGGTAATGGCACTCATCATTGAGTTGGTGATTGAATGCTTGTATCATGTTGTTATATGGGAATGGAATTTCTGACGTGACATGAGGTCATGTGAGAGGATCTTAACTGTTTAGATACAAATGGGCGGTGATATGAGATAATATTAAGATAAAGGATGAGAAAAGAATCATCGTTGATTTGTATATGAACGGTTGAGTTTCTCTCACATGACCTGATATTACTTGAGAGGATTCATTCCCATTGTCTATAGTATCATTGCCTTCTCTTTGGTTAGGAGAATAAAATTCACTTTGTATAAAGGGATTATTTATATTGATTTGTTGCTGTTTATGGTTTCTTAGTTTTGGTTTTGGGTCTCTGTGACATATTATACCCCCCTCGGTTTCTTCAAGTGGAATTTTTGTCCTTTCTAGTATGTGTGACTCCTAATATTATTAAGTGACTATATGATTTATGTGATTAATTGTAGCTGTCATTCGAAGCTCTTTCTAGATTGTTATGGACGTTGTGGGATGGTTTGCAACAATTGATTGTTTTTCATTCCTGATCTTTGAGCCTGTACCTGTCCGATGGTTGAATCAACTTCAAAGTTATGGTTTCAGTATGCTTTGTGCATGAGAAACATAAATTTGAGAACATAGAAAACTTTAAGCAAGATCATGACACTTTGAGATACATATGGAGTCAAAAATAGTTCATGCCATCCTTGTAGGTTCATTGCATTCAGTAATATATAATGAGTTCAGAAGAATTAGAAAGGTTACTTATTAGCAGGGTACTCATAATGCAACTCAGAAATATAGAATTGGATATACATAGGAAATTAGATGCAATGTAAACATTTGATTCAATAATTTTAGCATTTGGAATTTGGAACCCAAATCACATGCTACTTTCGGCATTGAACAGCTAAGAAAGATAACTCTTTATGGTTAAAAGCTCAAAATATTCAGACTTCAGGAGCCCAATTAGTTTGATAGCCCAAATTCTACACCATGCTCAATCCTGGTAGCTCTTAATCCTGGCTAAATAACTTTCTTTGTAAGTATTTAAATTACTTCTTGTTTATTTCATATAAAAGCTTAGACACCGATCTTAATGGAGTGAAAATATTAGAATCTTATCGCTTTCAAAACAGGACCATTTTCTGGTTGAAAGTAGGACACAATTTGCAGAATTCATAATCCTGAGAACCTGTAGATTTGGCTTCATAACATGAGTTATAGGTAACCAAATTACATGGTACAAGTTGTATTTCGAAGCTGAGATATAAAACTTTATATGCTAAAAATTTCAAAAAAGTAAAAAAAATCACTACTCTTGAGACTACAGTTTTCACATTAAAAAAGGGTAAATTCTAACAATTCTCAGTTTCGTTGCATAGCTTTTGTTTTGGGGATCCAATTTGTGTGCAATCTGTTCCATCTGAAAGCTAAGAGACAAGGCATTAAAGAGCAAGTTCAAGTTCAATTTGTCACATCTGAAAGCGAATGGCTGTAATGGAGAATTTCCTTTCAACTGTTCAAAATGCCCTGGTTTCATTTGTTCAGTAAAACATAATCTTGATAACTGAAGTTACGAGTGCAAGTGCAAAATGCAACCAGACTTTATATAGGGATTAATGTTTCTTATATTGGAGGAGATAATTTTATCTTTTATACACATATAAAAGTGTGAGGTTCATGTGAAGAGAGGAGAGAGAAAAAAATATGGATCTCATGCATTTCATGTGAAAAAAGGAAAGAGAAAAAGAAAACATAGATCTCATATATTTTTTATACGTGTGTAGAAAATAAAATTATCTCTTATAATATGACAAATACTAATCCCTTTTATTAACTAAAAATCCGGCGAGAAAAGATTTGAATAAAGAAAAGACACATGCTATTATCCGTGTTCATATATGGCAGTAATATGAAAACTCACGTGGCACTAAAAATGAGTTCTAGATTAAGGATCATGAATCACGGGTTCAACCAGAAGCAGATTACATTCTTTAAGTGCCACACATTACTTGTTTAGTCAAGCAAAAATTACAAAATAAAATACATAAATTCATACTTTGTGTTTCATAAAATAGAACCAAGGAATCTCACCAAGTTATTTTGTTATGCATAGTGATCAGATCCGATTTTACAACTGGGTCGATTATGTGATCTTTCTCTACACAAATGGCCTGGAACCGCCTTGAGTCAGGGCATCTTGCAGTTAGAGCAGCTTTAACCCATGAGTCTTCAATAGAACAAGATGGAGGTGTACCTGCAAGACACTCCGACGCTCAAGTCAGTATCAATGTTAGGTTTATGTGTATTCTTATTGAATTAGATTGTTATACCTAGGCATGTACCCTTTATTTATATAGTGGTTCTGATGCCTCCTTACGAATGCGGTATGACCTCTGATTGGCTGTTTATGGACTGCAGGTTCAGCTAGTGCTTTCATAGCCTTATCTCTTTATGTCAGGCTATCTTGGTAGAGTAGTGGCAAGCTGGTGCTGTCTTCTATTCATTTGTTTAATAGCGCGGTGGATCTTTATTAGTGATTGCTTCCTTATCTATGAAGCTATATTAAAAGGCGGCTTATGCGCGATGGTGTCATTTCACCCTGTTACGCGCGATGGAGGCCATTGCGCCTCAATCTGGGCCTTGTGGGTATAGGCCTTATTCTATGGATTTTGGCCTTTGATGGGCCTGCTATATTTTATCCAGATCAGTTGCCCCTTAACTTGCAGCTTTGGTATTGACAAAGCTGGGAGATATATATATATATATTTTTTACGCGCGGTATGTCTTTGGCGCGCTTACTTATTGTCGCCCATATCATGCCGAGGAATCATCATTACTTAGCCGCTGAGAACGGTTGATTAGATGTTTAACTGTTAGAAGCATTAAATGCCACCGTAATTACATGGGTGTTTAGGGACAATCCTGGGTCATTTTAAACTTGAAACGTTTTACCTGCGCTCCGTGTGCCTTCTGTTTTTTCTGTTTTACTCAACACGTTTTAACCTTTTGGTCTTCCTCGCGGTGCCTTTTCATAATTGCACTGAGCTACTTAGTTGGAGGGAAATCATTCTAAGCTCTCACCTTTGTTACAAAAGCTTTTTTCTGTCGTATTCTATTTCTGGTTTATGCTTGACACGTCCTACTACTCTTTTGTTCGTTCTGAATTATAAATCTCAGGTATGTTTCCGCTTGCAATTTGTATCCTTCGTGTTCTGTTGCGTAGCTGCTTTCTTTCTTTAATTTGAGCTAGAGTATGTCTGATAATCGCAAGTTTGTGAATTTTATCAGAACAGTCGAACGATCAGTCTCCAATAGCCCTCCACCAAGGTCCTTACCTAGGTCGAGGTCATTGGGGACTGGGGAGTTGTGGCTAACTGGCAAGTGGGCTGCCCCTGGAAGAAAGTTAATTTGAATGATTGTGGTTCTTCTTTTCAATGTTTTGAAGTTGGATCTTCGTCTCGGAATCCTAATCGTGGGATAACCAGAACTTTGTCGCAACAAATTTCATCTCCTTTTCCAAAATCTTTCCCTAAAATGACAAATCCCATTTTCATATCAAGTGATTCCTCTTCGAATTCTGGGTCTGGCCACAACCTTGTTAATGCCCTAGATTCTGATTTTTCTCCTTCAATTTCATCGCGCAGTACTTCGCCTTCTACCGCGCGCGAAAACCAAAAAACAACTGGGTACCCATATAAAAAACAAAATTTTGACAACTTTAAATCTGCTTTGCTAATTCCTCATCTACTTCTTCTATCTTTACTAATACCTCATCTTCTGAATCAGATCTCATCTCGCCTCAAATTAAAGAAATCATGGCCTGAGGCCACTAGGTCGGGTAAGCGAGATATCCACGATGAAGAAGCTTTGGATTGGGTGTCTGACATTGTGTTGGACATGGTTTCTATCTACAACTCTCCAGGGGAATTGGAGGAGCTAAAAGCTGTCATTCATCTGACCCCAAACAAAGTACAGAACGGCAAGTGGGAATTGTCTGTAGCTCCCATGAATGAGCGAGTGTGCTCACCGCGCGAGGGCAGATCCTCCAAGCATTTCCTTATGATGTATGCTTTTTATTTTTTAAACTTAGGAGTAAGACTTCCTTTTTCCTCCTTCATATGTAAGCTGCTGGAACATCTCTATGTAGCCCCCTTCTAGTAAACCCCCAATGCATGGGGTTTTATTAGAGTATACGAGATGGTTTGTAAGGCTTACGGCCTTTTTCAATCTCCCGAGTCATTTCTTTGCTTATTCAACGTGTATGAGACACATTCCAGTTGGTTATCGTTTCGGGGGAGCGTGAGACACAAATTTTGTGATTCCTATCAAAGGAAAGTGCACAAGTGGAGCCCTAAATATTTCAAGATAATACCCCAATCTTTCCTTTGTATTGGATGCGATGCCATTCAGAGGAATTCAAATTGAATATAGGTTTTGAAGATTTGAGTGACTTGGAGAAGCTTATCGTGACAACTTTGTGTAAGATCGCGCGGGAAGCGTTTGACAGTGGTTATCTGAGTACTTATACAATCTTGAATGAGTACACTGATGATAATATTAAAGTTTTCCTGGGTAAATAATTTATGAATTGATTGTTTTAACATGTCATTTCTTGCTATCTTTGCTTATATCGATTTGTCTTCTGATGTGATTTGCTTGTTCATTCCTGATACCGCGATGGCTGCCACTTTATCAAAATTGGAGGCAATAGTAGCGAGGCGAGCTGCTGAAGATGCCACCCAATATGGTCCTGCGATGCCATCAGCCACTGCCTCTCGTACTGGTGCCGAATAAAGTCATGGAACCGCGCAGTGATGACCCATGCCCCTTCTCCTAAAAATAAAGAAGTGGTGAATTTGCCACTGGGGTAGAAGAGAAAGTCTGCAGAGACTGATGCAGGTTTATAGGATTCAACCTACTTTGGGGACGGTTGGGGTGTGAACGCGGACCTGTTTGCAAAAGGTAGGGAGATTGGTCTGCTAATTGAAGACACTCTCATAGATAAATGGTTGAATGCTGTTGTAAGGCCGAGTGTGGCCAACCAGCACATAATGTCTGTGCCGGGTAAGTATCATTATTTGTCAGTTTGGTGTATAAAATTGTGCCTTTTAATTCATGACATAATTTTTTCTGTGTGGCAGGGACGGTTTCGTATCTCAAGGAATGCATTGTGGACTTGAAGGGCGAGAAGGCCATCTTGCGCGCTGAGTTTGAGGAATTTAAGAAAAAGGCTGAGGAAGATTAAGCCAAGATTGCGTAGGAATTAAAGGAATTAAAAGCAAGCCACAAAGAACTGAAGACAGAGAAGACCAATCTCTCGAAGCATGTCATGGATCTGGAGGCTAACGTAGATACTCTGGAAGAAAAAATGACTTTTTTGAAGAGTGAAGTGCAGAAATGTCAAAATTTATTTGAGAAAGAGGCCGAGGGGACCTATGTCAATATTCTTAATCAAGTGTGTCTCTTCAATCCAACTGTGAAGTTGGATAACATCCATTATCTCCATTTCATCAAAGATGGAAAGCTAATGACTTTGAACGATAATAATGAAGAAGAGTTGGTAGAGTTGTTTAGCGCGACGGACACGGAGACTCCGCCCCAGACAACTGTGCCATCAAACCAAGATGATGGCCTTGGGGTGGCAAATGTTTACAGATCCGATTTTACAACTTGGCCGATCATGTGATCTTTTTCTACACAAATGGTCTGGAACCGCCTTGAGTCAGAGCATAAGCAGTTGGGGCAAATTTAACCCATGAGTCTTCAATGGAACAAGATGTGGGGTGTACCTGCAAGATACTCCGACGCTCAAGTCAGATATGGTTCAAGCAGGTTTTATTATGTAGAAGAAGATGTGTACCTTGGGTTAACACATATGTATTTATAGTGGAGAGATGACCAGCTTGAGAGATGCCTTTCTTCATGGTGAAGGTAGAGATTCCTCCTTATTGGTTCTTGTGGGAGGCTTGGAGATAATGTTTGCAGAAGTATGTAGAAGGAGTAGCTTGCTGTCATATGGCTTTTAATATATAGGAGCTTTGCTGAGATATGCTTTAGGAGATAAAGAAATGGTAGCAGGCTAGCAGCCTTTGTTGACTGTCATCTTTCTTAGTGATGAAGGCTTTTAATTTGGGCCTTGTCTTTATTATTATTCTAGATCAGAAGTCCCCCAGCTCGGTGCTTATGCCAAAGGCATGAGTAGCGAGATGTATAAGTCTGCGACATCATTTGCCTGTGTGGTGACTAAGCAATTTCATTTTACTTGCGCCTTTATTGTGCACCATGGTTTGTACCTTGTCGGTGCTTTAAGGGCTTCATAGTTGTTTACTTGTATCCTGCATTTTTACACAATTCATAATTCATACTTTATTTATTTTGCATACCTTTTAACAATGACATCTTGTGTGCTCTTGGGTTTGATGTCGCTGAAGTTTTCCTTTTAGGTGAAACAGTTGTGGAACTTTGATGCCACATATTTGATGTCGCTTTGATGTTGTCAGATGTTTTAACCAGTTAAGATTTTACCTTCCTTAATCTTCATGGATGTTTTAACCAGTTAAGGTTTTACTTTCCTTAATCTTCATCACGCTTGAAGAAAGTTTTAACCAGTTTAAGACTTTACCTTCCTTAATCTTCATCGCGCTTGAAGGAAGTTTTAACCAGTTAAGGCTTTACCTTCCTTTTTCTTCATCGCGCTTGAAGGAAGTTTTAACCAGTTAAGGTTTTACCTTTCTTAATCTTCATGAAAGTTAAGGCTTTACCTTCCTTTTTCTTCATTGCGCTTGAAGGAAGTTTTAACCAGTTAAGACTTTACCTTCCTTTATCTTCATAGCGCTTGAAGGAAGTTTTAACCAGTTAAGGCTTTACCTTCCTTTTTCTTCATAACGCTTGAGATAAGTTTTAACCAGTTAAGGCTTTACCTTCCTTTTTCTTCATCGTGCTTGAAAAAAGTTTTAACCAGTTAAGGTTTTACCTTCCTTAATCTTCATGGAAGTTTTAACCAGCTAAGGCTTTACCTTCCGTGGTCTTCAGGGAAGTTTTAACCAATTAAGGTTTACCTTCCTTAATCTTCATCGCGCTTCAAGGAAGTTTTAACCAGTTAAAGTTTTACTTTCCTTTGGTCTTCATACTTGAGTTTTTAACCCTTAGGCTTTATCCTCAAGTTAAGTAAGACTTGAGCTTGAAATCTTTGTCGGGCTTTACCCTCAAGCGTCTTCAAACCTAAGCTTAAGAGCTTTAGGCTATGTTGTGTCAACATATTGTAGACGAGGCTCATATGTCTCTTGTTTGATGAAACCTGTAATTTCCACGGATCTCACAGAATAATAATATCATATTTTTAAGATGATAAGAACAATGAGATTAGTTCAAAGAAGTTCAAAATAATAATGTTGCTGATATCCTTTATCTGCATTTCACGCGAGATTTTTCTCTTCACCTCTTATTAGTCATATCAGTCATGATTCCCTGCAATCTTTCATGCAAAAGCAAAGAAATTCAAGATAATTTTAAGATAAAGCATATTGAATAACTTTTGATCATTATTTATGGTCCCCTGCAGCGAGATTCATGTCTTCGCTATTTTGGTTTGGATTCTTTAGGCGAGATTTACATCTTTGCCATTCATTATTCGTGGGTCCTAGCATCTTTCACGAATTTCAAAGTAGAGACACAAGTTTTTAAAAATAAGTCATAAATATCAAGATTGTTTCACATAGTCACCCTGCAAGTTATGTAGTATTGCAAGAAGTACGATCACAATAGTGATTTAGGCATTCATAATACCTTGTGTCAATATGCTATCTTGTTGCTTGTAAAAATCACAGAAAGATTCAATATATGATAGCCTGCCATGCCTTATTTTATGTTTGCCTTAATTCACCCCTTGTAACAGGACTAAGATGATACATAAAGATGATTCGTAAGCCTAGGATGTGCTCGGACTAGACTTTGTCAATATCATATACATCCATATGCATCTGCCTAATACTTTTATGGTAAGCCTCCTTTTCACGCGATACATAGATTTTAAAATCAATGTCAATCTCTTAAAAATTCGTCTAAGGAAGCTTATAATCATTCACCTTGTCAATCTAACTTTGAAGTTGTTCCTTAATGGGATAGCTAATTTCTATAACTTTTCTAACACCCCTTTGAAAATCAATCATAAAGAGATTTTAAAATCAATGTCAATCTCTTAAAAATTCGTCTAAGGAAGCTTATAATCATTCACCTTGTCCATCCAACTTTGAAGTTGTTCCTTAATGGGATAGCTAATTTCTATAGCTTTTCTTTACACCCTTTCAAGTCATATCATGTCTCACTTTAATCAAATTTCAATCTTGCGAGGTACTTTGATTCTTCCATCTATGGTACCTTGAGCAACTTTCACTGTCATGATTTTTATCATAAAGGAATAACAATTCAGTCATCTAAAGGCTTTGGCACTAATAATCAACTCAATCATCAAGAGGCTTCCTCAATAAATATGTATTCTTCAAACTTTCAACAATCTTTCACTAAAAGCATTATTAATTTGGCTTAAATCCTCAACATCGCAGAGATCAACTATTTGCCTTATAATTGGTCATGATAACATTCATTTCTCTTTAGGGCCTACTACTCTATGTATTCGGTTTGGTTATGTCGCCTTAAAAAACTACAAAAGTCTTTCTGCTATTCTCTTTTTTATAAGAGCATTGTAGGTAGTTTATGGCTTTATCCTATCACTTATAGTCAATGTTCACTACTACCGAATGCATCGCGCCTAACTTATTGCACTCTTTAATCGAGATACATATCACTTACCAAAATTTGTGATATTTTTTACCAAGCACAGATTGCCTTCATGTTGCAAACTCCCTCATAGGGGATATCAATGCAATTATCAGTGACATTAACTGGTGAAACATCTTCTTGAACCAATATGCTATATATAAATGCAATTTTATTAAAACCTACATTTGTGTAGAACCACACATTATAGTTTTGCTAAAGCGCGGTGTTGAACCAATAAGCCACAAAATCCAAGTCGCAAGATAGTTTTAAAACTATATATATATATATATATATATATATATATATATATATATGTGTATGTAAGAGCATGTTGTATCGCGCATCTAATGCATAAGCTTTGAAACATGCGCTTTGTGCTATGCGTTTTCCATCTTGCATCGCGCATAAGCTTTATGCTATGCGCAATATAATTATATGACTTTATGCATATATTATCATTATTAACATATTGCAAAGTACGACTATTGCATGCTAGCAAGGAGTCTTGTGCAGATAATGTGGTAATAATTGCAGGAATAAATGTAAAGAGAAAGAGAGCTTTCCTGGTATACTGCAGTCATCTTGCTTGCTTTGTACATGGTGGTGGGAGTAGAAATTTATCATCCCCACAGACGACGCCAATGATTAGATCCATTTTTACAACTGGGCCGATCATGTGATCTTCCTCTACACAAATGGCCTGGAACCGTCTTGAGTCAGAGCATCTTGCAGTTGGAGCAGCTTTAACCCATGGGTCTTCAATGGAACAAGATGGGGGGTGTACCTACAAGACACTCTGACGCTCAAGTCAGTATCAATGTCAGGTTTATGTGTATTATTACTGAATTAGATTGTTATACCTGGGCATGTACCCTTTGTTTATATAGTGATTCTGATGCCGCCTTAAGAAGGTTGTATGACCTCTGATTGGCTGTTTATGGGCTGCAGGTTTAGCTGGTGGTTTCATAGCTTTATTCCTTTATGTCAGGCTATCTTAGTATAGTAGTGGCAAGCTGGTGCTGTCTTCTATTCATTTGTTTAATAGCGCGGTGGATCTTTATTTGTTCATGTAATTGCTTCTTTATCTCTGAAGTTATATTAAAAGGCGGCTTATACGCGATGGTGTCATCGCGCCTTGTTACGCGCGATGGAGGCCATTGCGCCTTGTGGGTTTAGGCCTTGTTTTATGAATTTTGGCCTTTGATGGGTCTGCTATATTTTATCCAGCTTTTTGACCACTGTAGCCCTTATTTAATAATTAATTATCATTTTGACCTTGATTATAAACTATTTCAAAAATTTAACCTTGCTTAAAATCATAACACCAATCTGCCCCTATTTGACCGTTGACCGTCAAGCCTACCTGGGTATTCCCTTCCTACCCGGGTATTTTTTAAAAATTTTAAAATACCCGGGTAAGGAGGAGGATACCCGGGTATATTTCAAAACACTGAAAAATGCTTGAATTATTTACCTGGGTAGGGAGACGGCTACCCGGGTAAACATCTGGCAAAAATAACAAACACACGTTTCATCAGCCTCAAATTGACAGAAACGAAAAGGCATGCCCACATGAAACCAAAAAAACACGAACGTGAGCTAATATTTAGGACTAAGCAACTGTGCTTCTTGGCAGCCTAAAATTCAAGCTCAATTATCTGAGACAACCTACGTGACGGTAAAACATTCAGACATACAAGACCAGTTAAAACCAAAGGGAAAAAAATCATCGGGTGACTATTATTTTCAAGCACATGGAACTAAGAATGATTTAATACCAATTTTTGCATTCACCTCATATAAACGACAGAGGTATCCAACCTCAAGTTCAGTTCACTAACAAACATTTTATCCATCCAGGTAAAATAAGATATAGAAATGAAACAAAACATGTATATTATTACATTTGGAATATTCATCAGACTTTGCTTCCCAAGAAGACTGGCAAAGGGAAAGGCGAAATTGGTTCTGCTTCTCAAGAGTTCTAGAGATTTCTAGGATATGTTTAGACGATAGTTGTCCTCTAGTGCAGTTGTAATATACATGTTTTGTTTCATTTCTATACTGTTTTAATATACATGCCCGCATGGCTTGAATTATTTTTGCAAGATGTTTACCCGGGTAGCCGTCTCCTTATCCGGGTAAATAATTCAAGCATTTTTCAGTTTTTTGAAATATACCCGAGTATCTCCTCCCTACCTAGGTATCTCTCTTTCTATCTGGATATTTTAAAATTTTCAAAAAATACCTGGATAGGGAGAGGATACTCAAGTAGGCTTGATGATCAACGGTCAAACAAGGACATATTGATGTTATGTTTTTAAACAAGGTTAAATTTTTGAAATAACTTATAATCAAAATTAATTTGATAATTAATTATTAAATAAGAACTACAGTGTTCAAAAGCCATTTTATT